GCTGAAAGACATGGGTGAATAAGAAGCAGAGAGAAGCCAAGAGAAAAGAAGAAAAAAAAGCGGGGTTTGATTGATCAGCAGATATGAGCTGATTGAAGTCTGGAACACCGCAAGAGTATCCAGTGAAAGGAGGCGATTCTGCAGTGTATATAAGGCAGTGGATTTAGCTATGAAGAAAAAATGGGGAAAAAGGGACAGAAATCGAGACAACTAAGCGGACAAGAGAAACGGCTTCCAAACTGCGCTCCAAGACTCAAGTTCAATCAGGAATTATAAAAGAATGTTCCTCCTGGACTTAGCTGCGCTTTACCCCTCAGCGGTACGAATATCCTCGCGCTCAGCCCTTCTGCCCGGAAACCTGTGACGACGTGACCGTGGCCTTATCTCGCCCGTATTGGTATCAACACGTTCCACTTTAGGCTTATCCTCCACACATGTGGGAGTAATTTGGGCAAACCGATAATCCCGCGGTAATTGTGGTGTTGTGTGGTGAGGTGGGAAGGGCAGACCAAAAGTGCTCCAGAAGTCCGGCTGCTACACTTGGTGAAGGACAGAAAGGACGAATTTCCCCTTGTTTACATTTCACTTTAAATTAGTTCACTTATCTTCACTCTCTCATCACCTATATTGTTGTCGCCCCCCGCTTACTTTATTTCTCGCTTTTGTGATTTTTCTCGTTCTGGACATCACTTTCCCGTCTATTACATAATCCCATTTTTAAACCGGCTGTTAAGTCTACCTACAAAATTGCTGTGAAAAAAACTAACTGTTTGCAAGCGCTCCGGGGGTACCCCGAAGCTTGTAAAACCCCTGGGTATCTGGTGCTCCCATGTCAGGAATTGAGGCCGTGTTATGAACCTGAGAGCCCTTTCAGCGGGTTTGCCAACGTATCTCCAAAACGCGGTGATAACATCTCACTTGTTGGTATGCATTAGGAAGGTGGCGGAAATTACCAGAGAAGCAATGCCCTCTCTCGGGGTGCAGTCAGGTGAGGTGGGACGGGTTGTCAATGCGATAATATATTTGTCCAATGATAAAACGAAGATTTGCGGGGCTTTATGATTTTTCTATAGCAGGAACGATGGCGTATGGAACCGGTACTGGGCGACTGGCAAGTGGCGGCGGGAATAGAGAAATGTACCGAGAATATGATAACCATAGGAGGAATGGCTGTTCGTATATTCACTTTGTGCGCCCGTTTCCAGCGATTTTAGTAGACTGCCGGACCCCCCCCCCCAACTGCTTTGGTTGACTAATATATTCCCTTGCTGAACTGAGATATGGCAAGATACCCAATTCGTGATCTCGCTTTGCCCCCCTTCTCAGGTACCGCATAACTATACTGATTATGTTCGGGACATCTCATGGACTCCATGATTTGGCAAACCCCAGCGCCTCACATCCCTATTTCCCGACCGTTGCGCTTCACTCCATACGACCCCCGAGTGGGAGAATAAGTTCCCGAGCACGAACAAAACCGTGTAGCCAGTGGGGTCATGAATATGTTGTAACATCCTGACTTCATTGATAAGAGAAAGGAGGGGGATGCCTCCTATTTGCACAGTATATAGAACCAGCTCCCAATTTTCTATATGGATGTCCACTCGCTTTGTAGACTACAAAATCAGAGATACCACATAAGGAAGGATGCTCCTATGGAATAAATGTCTGAAGTGCCGAGAAAGCACTCGTAGTGCTAATTATCAACAGGAATCAAGAGTGTCTCTTGTGTGCTTCTCTTATACCCCGAAATATTGTGAAATCCAGTACCTCCCAATATCAAAACCTCCAGGCACAAAGATGAAAGTCCCCCAAGTGAATTAGAGCCTCCCTGGGAGAACGCAAGGTATGATACCAGCACACCAATGAGTGGACCCTCCTACACACCAGTCCGAGCTCCCCTTTCTTTTCGAACTATATATCGCTTTTCTAAAAATTGGCGGCAGGTTTGCTGCTGCGCACATTTCCTTGCACTGTCAGCACTGATCCTTTCTCTCTGCTTGGTTACCAAGGTTTTGCTGTTTTTTTTGGGAACCGTAAGTCGGCCTTGGGGCCATTCTCGGGTAAGGCCTTCCGGCGACCTATCTCCTCCCATCTCAATCGGCCGGTATAGTCTCAAAATCCTCCTTTAACCTCTTGTGCTCAGGTACGGACGTAAATGCGCAGACAGCGGGGGATTGAAGGTACCAAATATTCTTGTTAGTCCAAGAAACTCCCATGCCGAGAGTGCCCTTTCATCCCCTATGATCGCAGTGAGCCCCGGTCTCCGAGGTCAATACCCGAGTAACAGGCCCTGGCCAGTGTTTTTCAGTGAGATCTCGCACTCATTTTTTGAGGACCCCGCGATGCTGATGAAACCCAAAAAAACATTCGACAATGAAGCAGCGAAAGTGTAATGGCAATAGCCTTGTAGCGTAGCGGGGCGTGGAAGAGGGTGAACTGGACTGTCACTAGAGACGCTATCTAATGAACAATCGGGAGACATACATCTCCGACAGGCGACCCCGGAAACAAAAGCACCTCCACAGGCCCCAAAAGGACACACCATCCTGACAAATCAAGATCCTCCGCAATCCTCTGTTTATCTCGTATCATACGCTTCGGATATCCCATGGCCCTGCGTGGCACCCTAAATAAGCCCCGGTATGCCTCGCGGCATAGAGTGTGAAAGCAACTAAGTGAATCCTTCATACCGGCAGCCCGACACCCCATGGCTAGGAGTGTCGAGACAGCAAAAACCCATACCCTGCCGACACAGGTGTGAAGAAAACAAACCCGCATAACCTCTAACCGCATATCTCCTAACCGCATGCCCGACGGGCAATCCTACAGATTATACCGTCGGGGTTTAACATGCGACCTCATGTCATAAAAATTTGATATGAAACCCTAATCGTGGCAGGCCAAACGACCCCTAACTTTTCTCAAATCTCAGCTATGATATCACACCCCCTCGGTTCAGATTCGAGGGGTTCAGAAATGTAACAACGTTTGTGAATTTACAGCTAGTCAGCCAACCCCCGGGGTTACGTTCTCCACACTTCACGCCTTATTCCACCATACCGCATCTGCTGGAATAATTGAACCACCTGCTATGGCGTTCAAATCTACCACTCTTAGATGCCGGTAGTGGGACGAGACCTGGGGGAAAGCCAATCACCGAAAACTATCCCCTTCAGTCCCACCTTAATCCAGGCGACGAGTAAAAAGCACTACCCATTGCCCGGGGAGGCATCTTCCGCCTCCCAGCCTGAAGTCCTGTTATTCCAGCACTGATAGAAGCGCAATTAAAGCCAGAGAACTTACCCCCTACAAGGGAAATGTATTCCAGGAAAAAATATATCCTATATGCTTGCATATGTTTTCTGCCGTCATGTAGCCGATTTCCATCGCAAACTCCGGGTGACCGCGAATCCCTTCGCGTGGGAAATACTCGTTGATTGAGGTCTCGCAGCCTCGGCTACCCTACAGGTAGAAAATGCATTGAAAAAAAGGCGCCGAGTTATACATTCAGTAGGGTTGGGGCTACGACTGCCTGGATCTCGCTTACGAGGGCCAGTTTTAGCGTCAACTGTGGCCCGGAGGTACTTGTAACTTAGAATATGATATCCAGTGACTCATGCCAGCTGGATTAGAATTTCCTCCTGAATCGACCACAACACAAACTCCAGTAATGACGAGTACGGGTATGCTCGCAGAGGGGATTCAGGTCATGTTTCACAAGTGCCATGGGTGAAGGGGTGTTCGTGGTGTGTCACTATTCGCTATTTTATGTGCCGATTTAAATCTCATTGGTTTAATCATTCTTCTAGCGGGATCGTGTGGGTGGTTCTCCTTGAAGCGCGGGCACTCCTTTAACAGGAAAGGAAGCGGGTTGTACCGGTAGGCTGAGGACTCTTGCAAGGATGTGGCCAAAAAACCCTGCCCGCGTATCGGCGTCATTTGATAGGCTCAAATTTAGTTCCAGATACTCGGGAAGCCCGGCACAGAGGGTTCCAAAATGCATGGCGACTGTACTCGAGTAGGATAGTGGTACGGTACCGGTACCGGTATTGGACGATTCCTCGCGATCTCGAGGTTGTTGCTATCATCCAATGTCTCGCATGCCGCAGTGAGGCATGCACCTTTTCACTGGTCACACGCCGAGTTGCCCGTACCGCAGCAGCGCGAACCACACCCCCCAAACCTGAAGAGAACCACCCACGGCGCGGGACACCCAGCCGCTCGCCCCACCTCGCTCCGGGCGGGGGAGCACTCCCGATCTCCAAATAATTTATCTTAACCTTCCTCCACCCCGGGACACGATCGCCCACGCAACGCCCTCTTGCCGACCTCTCTGCCTCCACCATAGCCCCAGCCGAGATTACACCCCAACGCTGTCTCAAACTTACAGAATTAGGAACCTCCATAGACAAGGTTCAGTCCGTGACTATCCGTTCTATAAAACTATTTCTCGCTTGTTAACTTGCATCAGGGCCTCGCAAAACGATTCGGAATTACCTCGATAGGCGAGAAATAGGCGACGGCTCCCATTTCAGTTACGTTAGCGGCATCTTAAATTTGCTTTCATACCCAACCTCCGAGAAGGGCCCCACAGCGAGCCAAGAGCACAATGGATCGGTGGGTTCACCCTCCCTCTAATGCTGGTGGTTTCGAAAAAGAAAAAAAAAATACTGATATGGCAATGTTCCTAGAAACTCCCAACCCGATACCGGCGGAAAATTCACCTGGAATTCAAGGGACCAAGGTATAATCGGCTTTCCCGAGAGAGTTCCGGCAAAGGTCTAACCTTCTACTGTAACAATAAAAAGCATCTAGGCCTTATAGGATGATTCCCTACGCCAGGAACAGAAATTTCACTGGCCGTGGACATCTCGTGCACTCGATAATGAATCTTTCGAAGCGGAATAGCCACAACCGGATCGCTCTTCACGGATTAGGCGGTTCTGGGTATGTATTCATGGATTTAGTGTCTGAAGGGCTTACTAATATTGCTCAGAAAAACCCAGGTGGCCCTCGAATATGTTTATTGGTGCGCAAGTGAGAGCGATTATGATATTTTCTGGGTGAATGGAAGTGGGGTGTTGAGATTTTGGGAGGGGTTCAGGGCCATTGGCCAGCATGTTCAGATTCCCGTAGCCAGCGCCGAGACGGAAGAAGAGGAGTTCCTGTTGAGTGTAAAAAGGTGGCTTGAAGGCCCAGACAGTGGCGATTGGATTCTGGTTATTGACAACGCCGAAAACGAGGAGCACTTCACTGGGAACTACGGTCCCATCTCTAAGTTTGTACCACAAGGTCCTAGAGGTACTGTAATATTTACGACCAGATCTCGCCAGATCGCATTGCGCCAGGGGTGCGAAAGGATTGATGTGGGAAGAATGGAGGAAAATGAAGCACTAGCCTTGTTTGCGAAACACTACGGTAGCAGGGGGAGTTTGAGGGATGGGGAGGAAGAAGCCGTTTCGAGGATCTTAGCCTCGCTGGATTACTTGCCGCTGGCTGTGGTAGGATCCGCAGCTTTCATGCTTGAGACCCAAACACCACCCTCCGACTACTGGACGATTTTCCAGGAGAACGATAAACGAAAGACTCAGCTACTGTCACAGCCGTTCAGCGATATCCGTCGCGACGTCGACATCACAGAAAGTATCTTGAGCACGTACTTCATCACCTTTGACCGAATTACGGAACAGATGCCGACCGCTGGGCATCTCCTACGGCTAATTGCGTTCTTTGATCGCCAAAATATCCCGGAGCAGCTCCTAAGAGAATCTGGAGTTGGAGGGGTGGATGATCCAGTTGAATTCCGTCGGTCTGTCGGAAAACTATCGGGATTCTCATTGGTTACTTCTACCCACCATGAAAACAAAACATTTTATGAGCTCCATCGTTTAGTGCAGCTATCGATACAGGCCTATTTATCGCCGGAAGAGTTGAATAAATGGAGTGCCACCGCATTAGGAGTGATCTCCCGGATATTCCCAAAATATGAGCACGAGCTGCGGGATATCTGCAGTGATTACCTTCCGCACGCGCTTGCAGTAACTAGTGGTAGAACGGATGCTATTGTGGAAGACCTTCATTTTCGCATGGCAGAGTGCTTTCTACATTTCGGTTCCTACGGCAATGCCGAGGAACAAATCCGCCGATGTATCAGCCTCCGTGAACAGAATAAAGAGCATGGATGGGATAAGGGTCATACAAGATTCATGCTACTAGCACGGGTAGGCGCTTGCCAAGGAAGGGCCAAGGAGGCCGAGAAGACACTTAAGAATGCACTAGAGAGTCTCGAGACGTCTTTCGGCCCTGGCGACCCTGACACCCTACGGTGTTTATCCTACCTGGCGAGTGTGATGAGTGATCTCGGAAAGTACGGTGAATCAGAGAAGATGAATAGGCGTGCACTGGAGGCGCGCGGGAAGGTGCTTGGACCTGACCACCGGGACACCCTAACAAGTGCCATTAACCTAGCTTTAGCGCTTCAGTACCAAGGGAAGTACAAGGAATCAGAGGCGATAAATCGGCGGGCACTTGAGGGGCACCAGAGGGTTCATGGACCAGACCATCCCAACACTTTAACTAGTGTCAACACCCTGGCCGCGTTGCTGGAACTACAAGGAAAGCACAATGAATCAGAGATGCTGAATCGCCGTGCACTGAAGGCGCGTGACCAGATTCTTGGATCCAACCACCCAGATACCCTAACAAGTGTCAACAACCTGGCTCTGGTGCTCCAACGCCAAGGAAAGTATGATGAATCAGAGGCAGCGAATCGGCATGCACTGGAGGGGCGAAAGAAAATTCTTGGACCAGACCACCCAGACACTCTGCTTAGCGTCAGCCACCTCGCTATGGTGCTGTCTTATCGAGAAAAGTACAAGGAATCAGAGGAGATGAATCGGTATGCACTGCAGGGACGCGAGAAGGTTCTTGGGCCAGATCACCCAGACACTCTAATCAGCGCAGGAAACCTAGCAGTTGTGCTGGAATACGAAGAAAAGTACGATGAATCAGAGAAGATGCATCGGCGCGCGCTAGAGGGGCGCGAGAAAGTTCTTGGGCAAGACCACCCCAACACCCTGATAAGTGTCAGCGGCTTGGCTATTGTGCTGTGTAACCAAGGAAAGTACGATGAATCAGAGAAAATGTATCGCCTTGCACTCGAGGGACGCGAGAAGATTCTAGGACCAGACCACCCCCAGACTCTAACAAGTCTCAGCAACCTGGCATTTGTGTTACAATACCAACGAAAGTACGATTCATCAGAGAGGATGCATCGGCGTGCCGTGGTGGGGCGTGAGAAGGTTCTTGGACCAAACGACTCAAACACTCTAACAAGTGTCAGCGGCCTGGCTACTGTGTTGAGAGAGCAAGAAAAGTACAACGAATCGGAGATGATGTGTCGCCGTGCACTGGAGGGTCGTGAGGAGGTTCTTGGACCGGACCACCCCAAAACCATAACAAGTCTCGACAGTCTAGCTACGGTCCTGCGATACCAAGGAAAATACCATGAATCAGAGATGGTGAGGCAACGCGCACCGCCAAGGCCGCCGATAAACCCCGAGAAGTCATAGCTACAGTTTTCGGACCGTTCTGCCCTTTGTTTTGGGTGACTGCACTCTCTGACAACGGCGATGGGCTGGTGAGGTGATTCATTGTGTTGCATGTAGTTTGGCGGGCTAGAGATGACGTGAGTGGGCTACTAATTTCTACTTGTGTGTGTGGCTGTGGGAGTCTGCCGCGGGCGGTGGGGCGAGGTGTAGGGTGAACAAAAACGACGTGTGCGGGGTGGTGGGGGGCTATTAATGTGCTGTTTGCTACAAGCAAGGGATACTTGTCTATGGAGGAAGTTTTACTCACTTTTCCTTCGTTTCGGTTTTTATTTTATCTTGTTTCTTATCTCTTTCAGGGGTGTATTTATTATTTTTATTACAAATTAGTAATTACTACGCGGCGCGCTCCCGGGAGTGCCTTGAATGTTCTGTCCCGTCCCCCGGTCGAAGCAGGTTCCTGGCCTGGGATCTTTCAGCAGTGAAAAGCTTTTTTCGCAGAGATCAGGGTTACAGGGTGGTGATACGGAACTAGAAAAACCTCTCTCTGCCTACCAGTATTAGGGGAGGAAGGTGAAAGTTTCTCCACGCAGGTTCAGGAGCTCGGATGGGAAGATATTATAAGTCCTGTATTTCTTTCTACTCTCTTTCAAGCGGTAGAGGCCATCGACGTTCCCGAAAGTTGTTTTTTCCTTCCTACTTTATCAGTTTTCTCTCTCCCACTATCGTTACTTTCTCTTTTATAGATCAAGAAGTCATTGTTGAAGCCGTACCTTGTTGCCTTATTTGTGAAAGTTTTCATAACAAATTATCTCTTGTGCTCTCGTAACCCGTATAGTCCTATCAGCCACTCTTTCACTTATTAAAATTCGCGATCGCTGGCTGGCGTGAAACGAACGAGTGACCAGCCGTGATCCACAACAAACGCCAAGCGATGACTAAAGGATCGCACAACTCACGGGTGGGGAAAACTCTTCCCCTCTATTTCTCCTCTCCAGGCATACTTGCACACTCATACACCACCCAACTGACTTCTATTCGCGCATGCAGTTTTGCTAACCGACTAATGGTAGGGACAGGAGTGTGTATCAACCACGGCCGACAAACGATAGAGGCCTTTACTCCCCCCCCAAGTACGTTTTCTCTTCCCCCTGCAAACTTCAAACTAACAAAAAAAAGACAAACTTCATAGCTCTCCAATCCTTCTCGCTAAGTCTTTCTCTCCTCTCTAAACTCGCAAACAAACTGCTAACAAAGGAAACACAAACTCCCGCCGCTTTTCCTTCTGCGCGCTCCGCCGACGCTTTTCCGCCGTGCTGCAGAAGCACTTCTCTAAAAGCCAAAGTGTGCTCCCGGGAAACTAACAAAGAAAACTAGCTAGAGCGCAAACAGACAAACTATCGCACGACTGAACGACCAAACGGCCAAAACAAACCGCGGGGGAAAGGAACGGGGGGTAGGGGTGGGGGTAAGGGAAGGTTCGTGCATGCCGAGCAGCGTCTCGGGATTTCCAACATCACTCACCGGAATCATTAGAAGTCACCACATGTTAAGCAGTCGTCCCTCGAACCTGTATCCGCAAAGACACAGCCAGCGCTACCCCCAGCGCCCCATGCCATACCTGCTTCCAACCATCACGGCATCTTCCCCCGGGAGTACCCCGCTACCTTACATTCCAAGACAACAACACAACCAGTGAGAAACTTGTCTTCCCGGCCGTGCTTCAGCGAACGGGCCGGGGCTAAATGCCACCCTCTGACCGTGGGGGTTGCCGGTCGCGGTCTGCCCGCCTCCTGCTTCAAGGACTGACAAAGTGCCTTCCGGTGAACAATGAAGACCGGCCGAGCCCCTAATGGCTGACCGCTAACCGGCCACGGCGCCGGGATAACAGGTAAAGTACGATGGGTTAGAGCCAATATGCTACAATGCAGTGGTTGAGCACGGAAAATTTCCCGAACTGTAACGTGACAGGATTCTGTTGTCGACCGGCAACTAAGATATATTTGTTTGCGAGTGGTGGGATATAATGATGTGCTAGGAACCATCGCGCGCTCTAGAGGTTAATGAGAAAGCCTTAAACCCAAATGGTCCTACCATGCCTAGTGGTCGGAAAAAAAAAAACCAGCCAGGTTTCGGGGTAGACCCCGCTAACCCGTTCTTTCCCGGGGACTTGCCTGGCGGGACTGCGGGTATCTCAAGGCTTCCGGGTGACCGTGAATGATTTCCCCGATCCTAGGAGTTTCTAGGGCATACGCACACATTCGCCTAGATTGAAAAGAACATTGTTGTATGTAGTAACAGTTTCTACACCTAAGTTCTTACAATGGGCGATATATTAGATTTCCCATGATTGCTCAGGTGGGTTAGGGTTGAAGGTCCCTGGGTGCCGGTTTGAGTGTAAGTTCGGGGCGTAAGCTCGTAGACTATATCATACTTGCCTAAATAGTTGTTTTCAACTGGGTTGGGGTGAAGAAAAAAAGAGAAATAATTTCCAATGCGGAATCATTAGTATGAAGGGTGTTAGCTGAAACAAGCGGCCCAGGAGATACGGGGAGCTAAGCGGATTCGAGGTTTGGGGTGGCACTAGAGATGCCGAGGGAAACGGGTTGGCAACCATAGAGTAGTTCTCAACGCGCGGTCAATTTATATGCTCTCAATTTTAGCAATATTCCGCGTGATATGAGCTGGTGCAGTATCAGCACTGCTCTCAGCTCTTCGAACTCGTGGCAAAAGATTTTCATTCTCTTTGTGCGCCTCGGACCTACGCTAGCCGAAGTTAGCTTCAGATACTCCACCTCGTGGGTCGATATTTGGAGATATCCCCAGAGTGCGGTTGGCGCTGAACAATATCTACAGACATTTTCCAATAACTACTATCCACTGGGAAAAAAAAGTTACATACTAACTACATTGGACCGCTAAAGATGACAGTCTCCGGCAGGCAATTATGAAGCTTACTGTGCTAGTCCTTAGGACCAGCAGGAACCGGTAAAGGTTGTATAGGGTATAGAATGGCCGGACCTACGAAATCGAGGTGAGCCTCACTTTGCCTACCCTGGCTACGTGTTATAAGTTACCTATCCTATAGGTTATCAGAGTGTGGCTCTGGCGATTCGGGAACATCGACCATACGAATAACTATCGACAACCTCGCCCCCTCGACGGCTGGGGCAAGTATGCTGAGGTCTGGAAGCTACAGCGAGTGGCACACACCGGAAGGCAGTCAGAAGGGACGTATTGGACGGGGACTGTTTTGCAACCCCCCACCCGATCTTGTGAGAACCCGAAAAACCAACCATGCGCAATGTAGTCCAAAATTTCCTCCATTGGAAAAGCAGCGAGAAGAGCACTAAAAAATTTGCTCTACGAGACAAATAAAACGGCAAAAAAACCCCGCTAGTCCGTTTATCCCAGCTCTTACGGGGCAGGTTCATTGGGCCTACCCCGATGACAGAGAAAAACCGTCAGAAATTCTCCGTGGTTTGCTTAGTCAGCATACACAACCTTGTCCAACCATCTCGCGAGTCCCACTTTGCCTAACCATGCCCGGGTAAGTTACCACGAGATACCATCGCACTTGTTGCCTTTCGATAAGCCGCGACTGCTAGTCTAAACACCGCCGACCTCTGTCTTCACTACCGCATTATCTGGCGGGAGCTGTCAGATACCCCTAGTCCGCCGAGAGGAGCGCCTGACGTGAAACTCACAATCGCGCCAGAATCAGAGCCGCGAAATATTTGGCCCTGGCCATAAGCAATTAGGGGTATGGCGCTTTATTGTGTTTCCGAGGCAAAGTGATGGCAAAACTCTTACTTGAATGCACCAGCGCTTCATGGCTCTCGCCAGATAATGCCCGATATCGCCTCCTGGGCCGTTTATCCACCCTATTGCCGATATCCTACCTTGACACCCGGCCTTAACTTAGTCGATGGTAGCAATCTACGTTGCGGACCTAACTGCGCTTTGCACCTCAGCCGTACCCTTATAACCAGGGGAACCAAAAGTCTGTTTGGATAGGACCGTTCCATTTTGCCCTACAAAATAACTGTTATACAACCGAAGAGTAACAGTATTTGTAGTCGAAAATGGAGAGTTATGGCAGAAACCGGTCGTATCCAAAGAGTCCCTAAATTTCATTCTTCTGCTTTCACCTGCGATGGAATCCCTTGAACTGTTGTGATACTCAATCCCTTTTTAAGTGTATAATACTACCCAATGTTGGCAATGGAGATAGGGAATACTTCGCGGAGCTGTCATGATTTACATTCCTGCCTGACTTCGTCCTTTTCTTACTCCCTGCCATCACATCAGGCGTTGGCCTCTTTTTGTGCTCCGAGTTTTGAGTAGGGTTTGATTCTGTCATCGTTCGGTGGTTTGTTGAACAGCGTTGAAAGAAGAGTATTGTACTCTATAGTTAGATGAGATGCTAGGTGAGGTATGTGATATCCTCGGTCTAAGTCCTTCTATCCGGAAATTTTAACTGGAATGAAGGTGGTCTCACTCGCCCATATTGCCACTAAAAGCTTCCCCCTTGGGTCGATCCCCCACGCACGTGGAAGGAATACAGACGGCCCGCTGATCCTACGGTGATGGCAGTATTGCGTTGTGAGGTAAGAAGGACGGGTCTAAAGTACTTAGGAAGTGTGACCGCTATGCTCAGTGAAGGACAAAAATGACCGATTTCTCCTTGCTTTATAGTTTAAATTCGTTTGGTCATCTTTGTTGTGATGGAGGCTGCTATCAGAATGCTCAGT